TTCTACTTAAAAAGAAAGAAACAAGAACGATGTACCAACCACTGTACCGTATGCGAAAATTTTCTCGCGATAGAAACTTAATAATAATTAATAATTAACAGCGATAATAATAAGATGCGAGATATATCGTTACATCGAGTACGATGTTAGAACAAATAATTAAAAAAAAAAATACAAAAAAATTCGTTCGTATCTACAATTTTTTTTTTTTTTTTTTACAACAATTAATCATCTTTCTCTTTTTTCTCTTCTCGTCTCTTCCCGTTCTCTGCTCTTCGATAAAATCTATTAAAATGAGTATTTCTTTTTCTTTTTTTATTTGAACATAATCTTTTCCGGGCTGACGATATTTTTTCCCCCTGCTATATATATATGTATATAAAAAAAAAAAAAAAGGAAAGGATGAGCCACGCCCGAAAGAATCTTAATCCATTTCGCATGAACAACTTTTTTTATCATTTTACTCTTTTTAGACGTGGAAAAAAAATGATACGCGAAAAGTGAATTAAAAAAAAAAGAAAAAAAAAAAAAAGAAAATGATTTAAAAAACGAGGATCAAGTCTAAAGAATTCGATCGAGTTTTTATGCGAAACTTAATAATCCAACGATGATCGAATCGCGTCGCGTGCAACGTTCTGATTCGTGTAAGGAACGATATAATGATAAAAAAGATCAAATTTCAGGTTACACGAAACGAAAACCTGAAAAGAAATATTGGAATAACGTTAATTAAGATGGCCGAAACGATCGTTTAATGATCGTAATTCGATGAACGATTTTTCTTTCGATGGAGCGTGGCCACATTTTATTCGTCGATCGGTAAACATCTAATAAACCAATTATTATTTCACTGGCGAATAATATTTCGCGCGTCCACGTGAAATCGCCCTGTCGTTCTGTCGCGGAACGGAAAGATTGAATTATTGTTTTCACGCGCGGCACGTATTTTTCGACGAGTGAAAATTTAACCGAAAAAAAAAATATATATATATATATATATATACATATATAAATGGCCAACCAAAAAAAAAAAAAGCACAAAATAAAAATAGGAAAAAGAGAAACAGGTTTTGCAGGGGTTCGATAGTTTTCACGATTATTACTTGTTTCCGTTTAAATGATGGTCGATCAGTTACGATCGTAAGATATCCCAGAAACTTTGAAACGATCTGTATAAAGTTTAATAAGATTTTCGAGAAGGCATAAGAATGTCGGCGATCGACACGATTTTATATCGAATTTTAACCATCCGGGAAATCAGTGATCCGGATCGCGAAACGTATAAACGAGTAGTGTCGCTAAAATCGTACAAGGAGAGAGAGACGAGCGGATCTAAAAAAGATCTAAAAGATGTAACACGAAAGATCGCCCCGCGAAATATATATCGTAACAATTATAATACTCGTGAATCACGGAGAATTCCTCTTCTTTTTTTGAAGAACCTGCTCCTTCGTTTTGATTTTTTTCTTCTTTTTTTTTTCCTTTTTTCTTTTTTTTCTTTTTTACGCGCTTGCAACAAATAAGAAAATATGAAAAAAAATGAACAACGAGGATAATAATAATATTAATATATATATAAAAAAAAAAAAAAAAAAAAAAAAAGAAAACACAACGTTAAAAATGATTATCAGCGAACGATCACATCGTCGTCGTTTCTATCCCGCGGTTTCTAGCGCTTCTGCACGTTTTTTTCTTTTTGCTTTTTTTCTTTTTTCGCTAACCTATTTTTATAAACGCGATATAAGTAGATCTCTAATAATTTAATGAGTCGATTAACGTGACGCCTGACGACACGATCACTTCATTCATTCATTCTCACATCTCTCGTATCTTTTCCTTTTAAACTTCCTCGTTTTTCCACTTTTTCTTCTTCCACTCTTCTTCTCCTCTCTTTTCCTTCCTCCTCTTTCCTCTCAGTCCCACTTTTTCTTTCTTTTCCATTTCCCGCCTTTAGTACTGTATCAGAGTATCGATAATTGCAGTTTTTCAATATATAATTATTAATATACCATCCTAAAATACGGTCAAATCACTGCCGCGAGCAGCAATTCCGAGGCACTACAAACAGGCCACAGAGAATATGGCCGCACAATTATTCATCTTCAGATCATCTCTGTGTCTAAATGATAAAAGACTAACTGTAGAACGCCTAATATACGTATAATCGTAATCATATACTTATGCATCTCGTCATCTATAGGTATAGATCATTATAATATATATATATATATATATATAATATATATAATATATATATAATGTACAATAATTAGAGAGATCACACGTCTTAATATAGAAATTTAAAAGACTATTCTCTAGTACGTTGAAATTTTTTTTCAATATTTTGTGTGTGTTCTTTTGTGTTCGTGTTATGTATATTTCTTTCCCCATTTTCGTATCGCATTTTTAAGTATTGCCACGAAACATTTATTTCTGTTTTGCTTCAATCTTTTTTTCTTCTTCTTCTTCTTCTTCTTCTTCTTCTTCTTCTCCTTCTCCTTCTTCTCCTTTCGTTTGCTTCTGTTCACCGGTTGATGTGATGATAATTGCGTAATTATTATAATTATAATTATTATTATTACTATTATTATTATTAGTATTATTATTAATATTATTATTATTAAGTTCCGGATGAGCGGACTTCACGAGGGTCCTTCGAAAGTCTTTTTTTTTCCTCTTTTTTTTTTTACCCACGGCTTACTCCCCTTTCGAGCTCTACTCTATCGACTACCCTACTTACGCTACTCTACGGTGTCTCAGCCTTCTTCCACGTTCCCTCCTCTTTCGTTTTTTTTTTTTTCTTGTTTTGCTTTGTGTCGCTTACCTAGTGTTACGTTCAGCACCAATCTGATTTTAAAACCGATTCAAAATATCATCATTATAGTTAATAGAATAATATAACCTGTCGTATAAATATACATTCAAATATTACTATAGTATACAAGAGTCGTACCCTCCCCTCGCGCAACTATCGTCATCGTCAACTTGCCGTACCCCGAAAAGCTATGGCTCAGCACTCTGGGGGGATACGCCGTCCTCGTAAATCCTACCTAATCTCTCTTCTTCTCTTTCCCTCTTACGCTCGCTCTCGCACTCTTACACACACATACACACACACATTTTTCTCTCACCCTTCTTTTACATCCATACTTCTATCCTCTACTTTCTCTCCCTTTCTCTCTCTCTCTCTCTCATCTTCGTCTCCCGCATCTTCTTTCTTCTTCATTTCATTTTTTTCCCCTCCCGATCTCTCGTATCCTTCAGCGATTTTACCCACTCCTATACCCTTCGTCTCTCTTCGTTTCACCCTCGATTCTGCACGCGCGCAACTCTCCCTCTCTCTCTCTCTCTCTCTCTCGCTCGCTCTCGCTCTCTGCTTCCATTTTCTCATTCACACACGAGAATCCACGCAGCATCCACGCAGTATCCATGCGACCAAACACGCACTCTCTTGCTCGCTCTTTTTCGCGCCATTTCAACATTTTTTTTTTTTTTTTCTCCTCCACTCGGTTTTGTTTGTTCGTCGGAGTGAACGGCTTTACATATTTACAGGCATTCTTCTCGTGGTCGTGTATTCACCTCCCTCTCGAGGCAACGTATCTTCCTCCCATCACGTATATCTCTTTCTCTTTTTCTCTTTCTTCTTTTCCCCCTTTTCTTTCTCTTTCTTTTTGTTTCTTCTCCTTTCTCCATCTTTTGTTTCATTTAAACATAGGCAAGTTAGATATCGTATCACAATCGTTATCAATTTTTTTTTTTTTTT